GGGTTGGCATTAACCTGCCTCTGAGACAGCTGGATTCAGGAGCACCAGCAGACAGCGCTGGCAGCTGACACTCTGGAGTTTGCCTGAAGTTTCAGTTGTGTCTTAAAGTCTCTGAGTAGTCGTTAATTCCCCTCAGACTTTGTTGAAAAATCCATCAGCCTTGTAGCCAAAACACTGCTTGGCATACAGGTCTCTGTTTCCACTGAAATGTAGCTAGTGGCTGCTGCTTCACTCCTCAGTGGAGACACAGTTACCACAGAACATCACTACCCTCTTTCAGGCTTCTGAGGAACAAAGATCTTTGTTTCGGGGCTGAGCTGTGGTTTAAGGGTAGCAGGTCGGTTGTGCTCTCATGGCGTTGGGAAGCATGGCATCGCTGCAGTAAGGGAGTGATGTTCAATTCTGAGCTAATGTTGCCTGTTGTCTCCACAGGTTACCAAAGTGACCCAGGTAGACGGGAACAGCCCTGTAAGGTTTTCCACTGAAACCACCTTCCTGGTGGACAAGTACGAAATCCTGTAATGCCAGACATGGTGACGCACAATGGAAGAAATTTTTAAATTAAAAAAACGAGGCTGACGTTTATTCTGAATGTTGGGAACGCCACAGCCCCCTCTGCTAAGATGCGTGGCTCTGTCTGCCATCTACAGTGTTGCGGGGTCACAGACATTTTTTGCAGAGAAGTGACGTGCTCATGGGGGGAAAGGCCACAAATTTCTTTGGCAGATTTTTACCGACTGGCAGAAAAGCAAGATCTCCGCAAAGAGCCTGACTTTGACATGCTTCCCCCGCCCACCCCGAGATGCTTGGAGCTCAGCCCAGAGCCGACCAGACATCATTCTTTCCTGAAGCATCACGTGCTGTTCCGTTGTTGGTGCTGCCATTTTAATTTCTCCTTGGCCTCTGGTTCTCATGTGTGGGGCCACCTGCAGGTCCTGACCCTTCCATCTGGTGGAAGCTGAGCAAGTTGACGTTTGCCTCAGAGGTGGGGGGGATCATGGCAGGGGCACAGGGTGGGGGAGAGGAATCCAGGGGTTCAGTCCTTTTGCCCCACACAGTTACTGCTGTTCCTCCAGCTCTGCTGTGTGGCAACGGCCCAGCTCCAGGTGGTCTGGTTCCTGCTGCAGCGGGGAGAGCATCCAAAGGGGACTGTGTCCTCACTGTCTTCTACAGCTGTTTTCAGGCCAGGCTTTGGAGGAAGTTTAGGTTGGTTAGAACCAGCTGTATATCCTTTGCAAGGCCGTTTTGGTGTCTGGGGTGGCTGAGGGCTTTGTCTGCCTGGGTGAAAGTAGCTGTGGAGCCTGGTTGACTTACTTGGCCTGTCTCAGACCAGTGTTGGTTCAGCACTGGCAGGTGTGGGAGAAGGAAATGCTGGTTTCCAGGTAATGTGGGGACTGATCCGAGCCATTTCTCCTGCTGCCTCACTAGTCTTATTTGCTTCATCTCAGAGACCTGTTCTCCCCTCACACTCATCTCACCTGCATGGCTGGGGCCTGTAATGAGTGTCACCTGCCCCTGGGCACACCTCACCTCTGCAGCCAGAGGGCCTGAGTGCAGGTGGAAGGCAACGGCCAGAAGTGTGTGTACTTTCTGTGAGAGACAGCCAGCCTGTCATGGGCCCCTGGGGTCCTCTGCCAAAGAAGTTTGTGGTCTCTCCTCTGCTGGCAGCACCTGAGAGGAAATCAACTCTGGTCCTGTCCTGAGAGGGCAAGCTCTCTCCCCTAGCAAAGTAGGCAATGAATCCCATTAACGCAGTCCTGTTCCAGAGCTGCTTGTCTGTATGATTTTTAAAATCGAGTCAAAGTTAGTTCAGGCATCCAAGGAGCTTTTTTTTTTTCCTTACATTCATTGGAGGGTGATATTTAAGCAGAGCCGAGGTCCCCACTTTTTGTAACCCTGTATGATCCTGGCCTAGGGAATAGAGCACATTCCAGTGTACACAGAATTCTGAGTCTTTAATCAAATAAAGTACTGTTAAAGGAGCTGGCTGGGGGTCGTGAGGTCCTTCCGGAGCCGGGACCGGTCAGCCCCGGCCAGGCGGGGGCGGGACGTGCCGGCACCGGCTGGGGCGGGGACACGGCGGGGCCGGCAGCGGTGCTGGGCGGCGGAGCGGCGGCGGAGCACGGGAAGGGCTGCCGGACCGGGGGAGCGAAGGTGAGCAACCGCTGGCATGGGGTGCGACACTCCCCCAGCTTGTGCCCCAGGCGACCGCTGCCTTGGGGAGCCCGTGGGGCTGGGTCAGCGTGTCCTGTAATGCAAGGATTCCCTGCTGCTTCAGAGGCAGCTCTGGGAGGTGGGGGCAAGAGAAAGCTCGGCTGCTTTGGCCCGTGTTGGGGCTGGGTGGGACATCTTTGGGTTCCCTGGGGTGCCTTAGGAGGGGGTGCAAGGAAGGAGCAGGGGATAGGGAAGTAGGAAAAACATGGTCAGCCATAAAACCAATCACTGCACAATGTTTTGGTGGTGTGTGGGTGGTCTGGGAGCTGGTTCCGGAGCCAGTGGTCCACGTCAGTGGTGGGTTTGCTGGTGTGGGAAGCCCTGAAAGCAGCCAGACAAGGTTCTCCTGTCCCCAGATCCTTATGCAGCTCATGGGCAGTCACAGGAGGAGACAGTGCTTGGCCCATGGCCACCACTGCTGTCTCTGACACCTCTTGGGGAGCCTGGGAACGGTACTGGTCCTGCTGGATCCTTCCTGTCCATGGCTGGACCTTGTTTACTCCAGCTTCCTGCCACACTCTTGCCACAGCCCCTTCAGCTGCTGTCAGAAAGCCAGAGGAATCTGGCAATCCCAGAAGGTCCAGCTGTTGTTCTGAAGGGTCACTGTCTCTCCCATTCCTCTAGCTGCCCTGCCAGCCCCGAGCCCTCTCTGAGCACTAGGCAGAGGGCGCAGGTCCCCTGGCTGAGCACCACAGGCAGCAGCAAGGCAGCATGGCTGGGTACTTTTTGATAATTCCTCATACATCTGTGTTTGGTGTGGGGTGGCATATGTTGGTATGCATGGGGCAGCAGGGGCAGGGCACCATGCAGGGGAATGGGAACCACAGTATTGCACGGCAAGGGATCCTTGGTGGCAACCAGAAAGAGGAGAGTGATCAATGCCTGGTTTGGAAAGGTGAGGTTCACCCCACCCCTTTCCCAGCTAACAAAGGGCTGGGTGGTGGGTTCATGCCGGGGTTGAATTCAAGACCCACCAAACCCATCCTGTGTCATGGTCCACCAGATGTCGTCAGTGGAAGTTGCAAATGCTCCTTGCTGAGCTGAACCTCTGGCCTGCAGGTGAGAAATTGTCATTTTGATACGAGAGCATTTGGAGGAGCAATTCTCCATTGTGCAGTCTTGTGAGGGGTCTGGAGCTTGTGTCTGTGCTGTGGTGTCTGGAGGCACGTGCTGATGCGGGGGTCAGTGCTTGGGCCGCAGCAGTGCTTGGGTCTGTGTATGCTTCGCCGGCCCTTGGAGCTGGCTCACCTGGGGGAGTGCTGGGCGCAGCAGGCAGGGCTGCACATGGTGAGCATCCACCAGTCTGTGGAGATCCTGAAGCATGATGCAGGCAGGGCCTCGGCCGGAGCACAGCTGTGCTGCAGTGGTGCAAGAGCACTTCTCCAGAGCGATGAAATCAGCGGGTGTGGCCAGGATTCCTCAGCTCCCGCCGGAGCTGTCTGGTGGCTGATTTATGGTGGTGTTATTGCCAGGATCATGGTGTTGTCCCAGCAACAGCAATGCAGCCCCCGCCATCCCTTGCCTGGGTGGGATGGGGCTGGCTGGGTCTCCCTCACTCACGGTCAGCCCCAGACCAGGAGGCAGAGGCCAGGAACAGGCTCTTCACTCGCCCCTTTGTGCAGGAGACAGGCTCCCCCTTCCCAGCGGCCCGGCGGAAGGGCCGGTTGTTTACTAGGGCAGAGGGTGTGGGAAGGGGTGAGCGCACCCTAAGTGCATTAGCAGATGGGGAGCAAGCAGGCAGCCAAGTTGGCTGAGGCTGCAATGCTCCGCTGTGTGCACCCTTTTAGCTTGGTCACTCGGGCTTCCTTCTGTGACTCATCTGGCCAGCCACAGTGGGGATGAGAGCCCATGCAAGAGGATGCCATGCGCCTGTCTCTGCCATGCTGCTGCTTCATCCCAGCATGGCTGATACTGCATGGCATGGCCAGTCAGTGTGTGCTCCTTCATGAGCACAGGCTGAATGCCCCTGCCCCGGCCGTGTCCTGGTCAGGGGTGCACAGTGCAGCTCCGGGGTTATGCTGGAGTGGGGCGAGTCAGGATGTGCTGTGCTCATCTTGGGTCTGGGTGGGCAACAGCAGCTCAGACAGGAGTGGACCCCCAGAGCACCCTGCCCATGTGGGCTTGGGGCAGGCAGGCAGATTGCAGCCTGTGGGCAGTGGGATGCAGGGGCTCCCCAGGAGCACGCTGGGGCAGCATGTCTGTGTGCAGCGGGCACTGCATTGGTAGGGCCCCCACACTGGTGAGACTGGGCATCCTCCCAGGTGAGGCTTTTGGCTGTGCCAGGTGAAGAAAGGGGCTTCTGTCTTCCAGGAGGCCGGGGCTGAGTAGACAGCCCTGCGCGGGGTGCACGAGGACCGTGGGCTGTTCGGTGGTAACCGAGCCCGACCCCTTGGCATTTGCTGCCTTCACCGCTTCCCACGGCGGGAACAAGCGGCGCGTTCTGCAGGCGGCGGCGGGAGAAGAAAGGCTGCCTTGTCCGTCCCAGCAGTGGGGCGCCGGCTGGGGCGGCCGCGCTCCCGCCCCGCATTCCTGCAGCAGAGCCGGCTGGAGAGGGGCTGCATCCCCAGCAGGACGGGCTGGGGTGACGCAGGCGTTCCCCGAGTGTTGACGAGGCAGGTGAGGGGCTCTGTTGGAGGGCGACGTTGCGGTACTGGGGGCGTTGGGAAGAGATGGGATGCCAGGGTCACCCTCCAGCTCATGGGCAGGCAGGACTGCTTCTGGATTGGGGGGTGATGGCTGGAGAGTTTGGGCAGCAGGCAGCGGAATCCGAGACAATCCTCCAAGTGGCCGGAATGGGGGTCCTCCATGGTTCTCACCAGGTCTCACCAGTACAGCCATGCTGGGAAGGAGTTAACAGCGACAAAGATCCCACCCTGGCCCCGCTCCCTTCCTCTTCAGCAGCCTGGCCCCTCCTGGCTTTTCCTCCTTCCTGAGCATTGTGACGGGACGTAGGTGTAAGTGAGAGGCAGGGGCTCGGCTGGGCTGTGAGGTCTCCAGATGCTGGGAAGTGCGGCACCCCAGTGCCTGGGGAACATGGGCACCCTGCCGCGGAGGGTCGCGCTCGGCACCAGGACCAGGTGGCAGGTAAGGGAGAGCAGGGATTCTGCCTCGGCAGCCGGCAAGCACTCGTGAACTGTTCTCGGGGTACCTTATCTCTACGCCCCCCCTTGTCCCAGCTGATCTGTCCCCATCACACGTGGTGAGGCTGTGGTCCCACCGAGCCCTTGCTGTGGGGCGGCCAGTCCTGCTGTTGCAGGAGACAGCAGGGTTTCATCCAGGTCCTGGATCTCACGCCTGGTGTTTTCCAGCGTTTCATTTTTTCCACAGTGTGTAATAGCCGTTCTCTCGCCCCCGCAGCTGAGCCCGGTGCTGGCCGAGCGCGGGGGTCCCTCCAGGGGCTGGCTGGACAGTCGGCGATGCCGGCGAGAGCCGAGCCCGAGGCTCCTCCTGGCGGCCCCGGGACCGGCGTCTCCTAACGGGGATGGAGCGCTTCCTATCTACACTGCTCGGGAAGGGTTAAGCCCCAGTCAGCTAGTTCAGGGCGGAAGGGAGGGACGTAGGGAGCAGCAGACGGTAAATTTAGATCCTCGGAGCATCCCGACATGGCGTGAGCGCCGGGTGACGGAAATTGTTCCTCCTCGAATTGCCTCCCACTCACGCAGAGAATGCGTGGCAGCATGGCTGTTCCATGGGTGGTGGCTCTGCCTGCCGGCCACAGGGGTACCAAACACTCAGCTGGGCGTGTGCACTATGAGCTGCTGCTGAACTGTGTGGGAGCAGAGGCATGTGCCTGGGTGCCAGAGCTGGGCACTGGTGGCATGGACAGCTCTGCCATGCATGGCAGGCAGGTGTTCCTCGGGACAGCCAGAATCTGTGCTTGTGTGTGCTTTTCTGAGGACAGCCATTGGGGTCTGGCTGCCCACAGCTCTTGGCATTTAAAGCATGCATTTCCAACACCATGCCCCCAAAACTGAGTGCAAGTGTAGTTTTCCTTCCCGGACTGTGTCTTGTCCTGACACTTGACACACGCATGGGTCTCCCTGGGTGGATGGGGATGTGTGCCTAGGTAGGATGCGTGCCTTGGCAGGCAGGGATGCTCACTGGCTTCAGGTAGCTGCTGACATGATGAAGACAGGAGCTCAGGATGGTAATCCTCTTGGTGGCAAATGCTGGTTTGGAATGGGTAGGGTTTGTGCACAGGCTGCTGTCCGGGATGTGCAAGGAAAAATACATAAAGGCCATGACCAGTGTGGTCACTCATACTGTCATTCTGTTTCTTCTGGCAGCCCATGTCCGGTACCATCCGACGTCTCCAAGAAGGCACCATGGAGACATCTGGCAGGACCCCCACCAGCTCAAGCCACAGAGTCCAGACTGTCATCCAGGTGAGCACACAGGATCACAGGGCCTCTGCTCTCTGGGAATAGGAGAATCTGTCTGGGAGTCCAACTCTGCAGCCAGCCCTAGCACCAGCACTGGCGCTGCCCTCCAGCTTCTCCTCAGTCTCAGCCAATCCTATTACGGGATCCTCAGCAAAGCCCATTGAGCTAAGCGGCTGGCAGCTTGGATCCTCTTAGATGCAGCCCAAGCCCCATGGATCTCCAGCTCCCGTGGCAGCTCACCTCAGCTCCCCGGGATAGGTAGCACAGGCAGGAGAGCCCTCCTCTCCTGGATAGTCCTGCTGGCATGTGGCTGTGCCTGGGCATTGATCCTGGCTATGTGGCCATTTTGGAGCAGCTCATCCAGGTGGGCAGTGCAGGGGACTGGGCTGCAGCAGCAGGAGCTGTGAGCATCTCTCTCTCTCCTACAGAACAGCTCCCTGGACCTGATCGACACGGGCAAGGGGCTGAAAGTGCAGACAGAGAAACCACATTTGGTGAGCCTGGGCAGCGGTCGACTCAGCACTGCCATCACACTTCTGCCCCTGGAGGAAGGTGAGTGCTGGAGGGTCTCCATGGGCACGCTGGTGACAGAGACACTGAGACGCCCTCTCTGCTGGCAGGAAGGACCACCATTGGCACGGCTGCGACAGACATCGTCCTGCAGGGCCCCGGGCTGGCGCCCCAGCACTGCTACATCGAGAACGTGCGAGGGACACTCACCCTGCACCCCTGTGGCAACGCCTGTGCCATTGATGGTGTGCCACTCCAGCGGCCCATGCACCTCACCCAAGGTAGGAGATGACTGGCTCACCGGAGCCTTTGCCTGTGGAGCTGTGCTGTTGAGTATTGGGGTGTTTGAGGAGCCATCCAGTAACTGCACATCCCAGCTAGCATAATCTTGGCCTCTATGCTCTGTGCTGGGAACCTGCCAGGTCCTGGCACGATTTGAGAGCTGGCTTTGCTGCGTGTGTCAAGTGAGGTGGGAAAGATCCGGGTGGGCTTGGAAGACCAGCCGAGATGCTGAGCCAGCTTTGGGGAGGGAGATGACAGACGAAAACACCTTGAGCGTCCTCCCGACGGATGGCTGCCGGGACACTGCTGGTCCGCCTGCGTGGCTACCGGGCTCGGACCCGGCCGGCCCCCAGGGCCGCTCCCAGGGAGCTGGACAAAGCCTCAGGCCCTTCCCAGGCGATCCCCGCCCCTCCACAGCTCCTGCTCCTTCCCGGAGAGGACTGTCGGGCCAGGCCCGGCCCCCGCCCCTCCCCGGGGGCGGTGCGGCGCTGCCCGGGCGGCGGCGGCGGCGGCGGCGGCGGGGAGGTGAGTGCGGTGCTGCGGCCACGCGTGTCCGCGCCGGCGGGGCTCGCTCCCGGTCCTCCGCGGGTCACGGAGCCATCCGTGTTCCCCCGGAGGCCGTGGCGCTGCGGTCCCCGCGCCTGCCCCGTCCCTCGGGGAGGGGGGACACACCCGCGTGGGCGCCCCGCGGGGACAATGGGAGCCACGCGGAGACGGCTCCGGCGGCGGCCCGGGCTGCTGCCAGGTCCCGCCGGTCCCACAGGAGGCGGCGAGGGCCGTGGTAGGCTGCGGGGTGTGGGCAGGGGTCAGCCGAGCCGCTCATCCTCCCGTCCCCGGGGCAGGCAGGGACAGCATCTGTGCAGGGCCACGGCGGATTGAACTGCGGGGCTGTCAGGCTTCGGTTATTGCTCCTTTGCCGGGGCGACCTGTGGCTCCGCTGATGCCGGCACGTGGGAAGGAAGGCGCAGGGCAGCGGTGCATCTCTCCGGCACAGCCGCTGCCAGGCTGGGCGTCGGTGCTGCTCCCTGGCAGGCAGGGATGCCCTCGTGGAGCCGGGTGAGCAGGACTCTGTCCCGCCCTGGCGCTCGGACAGGGGCACCAGGCCCTCACGACGGCGATAGCAGTTAGTCCGTAGTGCCTCTCGCTCTCCTGGCTGTGAGCTGCGCTGACGGGTGCTCCAAAAAACGCGTCCCCTCCGGCGAGGGATTTTCAGCAGCGGCTGCTGGTATGGAGCGAGCCTCTCCCCAGAGGCCTGGCAGGCGCTTCAAAGTGGGGTGTGTCGGCAGCAAGCCGCCTTCGAGCCGCCTGATGCTCCTTGCTGCCAGCACATGCCTCCCCAGCACCACGAGCAGCAGGTGAACGCACAGCGAGTGCCCACGACTCGCCTCCCCTTCCCTTCCTGAGGTGCCTTCCTCCCCGGCGCTGCTCGTCAGCCTTGCCCCAAGAGGGCTGCTGCTTTGGGCCAAGAAGAGATGCTTTGCAAGCAGGGACAGGAGCTGTCTTGTCTGCAGCTGGCAGCCACGCAAGCCCTGGAGTGCCGCCAGCTCCCGCGGCCCCCGGCGGGGACCCCAGCTGTGCCTGCGCCCGAGATGCGCTGCCGGCAGCTGCTGTGGCGTGACCTGGATTTCAGCCTCCCCCTAAGCCTCTGCTGACAGCAGGAGCCCGCTGCCTTCCCGAGGGCGCATCTTAGGGCAAGCAACGCCCGACTGCTTCCCTGCACTTTCCAGGAGTACTCTGATACTGCCGGCTAGCATCTGAACCCTCTCTCCTCTCTCCCAAGGGTGCACCATCTGCCTGGGCCAGGCCACCTTCCTGCGCTTCAACCACCCTGCTGAGGCCAAGTGGATTAAGAGCATGATCCCAGCGGGTGGCAGAAACCCATCGGCTCTCTATGGGCTACCAGCAAGTAGGTGATCCCCCTTGTCCCAGGTGGGGCAGGGCAGATGCTGAAGTGCTCCCTGACCCATCAGCCTTCCCAGTTCCCAATGCTCTCCCAGTCCTGTCCAGTTGCACTTGGGCTCACACCTGGCTGCACTGTGCCATCCGTCAGCTTGGCATGGTATGGCAGCTGCACTGGTATTTGTTAATGATTAATATCACCTCAGAGAGGTTGTCTGTGGGGGCACTGAGGCATGGCTTTCACTTCTGCCCAGCCAGGCCATGGAAGAGCCGTCGCCCGTCGGAGCCCCCCCACTGCTAGAAAACGGGTGTTTATGTGCTGGAGTGGCTGTGCTGGGGCTGTGAAGGCCATTCTTCTGGCTGCTGCCCTTCATCTCATGAGCTTATCTTGCTGTGTCTGCATGTCCGTGGGGCAATGGGCCAGGTGCCAGTACCGTGCTTGGTTCCTGGGGATGTCCAAATCTCCAGCACTGATCCCTGGGCTGGTAGCCCTTATCCCTGCCCTCACCAGCACACCCTGGCACAGGGAGAGGAGCTTGGCTGCCTTCCCGTGCCACGTGTGTGTTGGGAAGGCAGCATGCCTGCAGCTGGGGGACAGGAGGAGGGACATGGGGAGGTGCTGTGGCTGAGGAGCATCATGCAACCATGCACCATCCCGTGTGGGCCCTGCATGCTCACTCTACCATGCGGGACTGGGTGGGATCACACTGACAGGGCTGTGGCACATCTTTCCAGGCACGAAAGCAGTGCCAGCTGCTGTGGGGGAGCTGCTGGGTGCCAAGGGGTGACGCAGCCCGGGTGGCACGCTGTCCTGGCTGAGCCCTGCGCCTGCTGCGATTCGCTGGTCCCCTGAGTGACAGGCACATCGGTGCTGCGCTGGGAGGACTGGACAACCCAAGCAGGGGCACCCTGGCTGGGGTGTGGGGAGGCTGCGGGCGACGTGGTGGTGGGTCTGGACATGCTGCAGGTCAGCAGCTTTTGGCAATTGCATCTCTGACCCCTTGCTGGGAAACCAGAGCATGCAGGGGGCAAGTGGTGGGTGGCAGGAGGTGGTGAGGGCAGTTGCTCTCCAGGGAGTGGAGCAGGGAGCTGCAGTGCAGGGAGGGCGGCTGTCCTCTCAGGTTTCTGTCTCCTGGGTGATGGGGCTAGCGGGATTCCAGCCTCCTCCCTATCCCGGCTCCCCAGCTGGAATGGGAAAGGGTGGCAGCGGGGTGCAGGCAGGTTGGGGTGCAGCAGAGAGGGGCTGCAATCCAGCTCTGACTCTGCAAGGCTGAGTGGAAGAATGATGCCAGGCTGCTCTGTAGGACCCAGCCCAGGCAGGGGCTGCGGCGAAGTCAAAACACACTGATGCCTTCTCCTTTGTTTCCCTGCAGAATCCGAGGCCCTGGTGAATGGTGGCCACCAGCTGTCAGAGCGTGGGTGTCACAGCCACAGCTCCCTTGTCAGCTCCATCGAGAAGGACCTGCAGGACATCATGGACTCGCTGGTGCTGGAGGAGTCGGGGTCCTCTGGCATCCAGAAGCCGCCTGCCTGCAGCCAATCCCCCCTCTCCCCTGTGGTGAATGGGGGTGGGCGCTGCCTCCTGTCCCCTCCATCCAGCCCTGGGGCTGCCTCAGGGGGCTCCAGCTATGAGAACTTCTCTCCCCTCTCCTCCCCAGCCAGCAGCAGCAGCTACACCAGCCCCTCACTCAGCAGCCAAGAGCAAGGCCCAGCCGTGCCGCCCCCTCTCCCACTTCGCTCCTCCAGCTACAACCATACTGTCCAGCCCCCCGCTCTGCCTGCTGCGGGTTCTAGTGAGCCTTGGCCAGCCGAGAGGCTCGGGGACCACAGGGGGGGCAGCCCTCGGCTGACGCCCAGGGTGGCACCGCGGCCACGGGTGGCCCTGCAGGAGCGGCCCCCCAGTCCCTTCCGGGAGCCACGGGACTCTCTGGCCCCGAGCCGGCAGCCCACCAGCAGCAGGGCGGTCCCAGAGGCCCGGCTGCAGCTCCCCGAGAGCCCACGGGTTGCCCGGAGGAACATTGAGAGCATGCGGGAGCTGCCTCCCCTGAGTCCCTCCTTGTCACGCCGGGCTGCCAGCCCCCGAGTGGCCCCTGACACCCCCTCCCCACAGCCACGGCTGGGCAGGGAAGTGCCTGGCAGTCCCCGTGCCAGGCGCAAGGGCCCGGAGGAGTCAAAAGGTGCTGGGGGTCCTTCACCCCCGCTGCTGTCAGAGAACCCCACACGCCGTCCCAGTTTCAGTACTTGCCTGAGCCCCGCATACGGGCTGGGCTCCCCAGCTGTGCCCTCGCCCCGGCAGAGCCCCCGCACCCCCAGGAAGCCTTTGGGGGACCCACAGCTGCCAGTGGGGTCACGGGAGCGCAAGAACAGCATCACTGAGATCAGTGACAACGAGGATGAATTGCTGGAGTACCATCGGCGGCAGCGGCAGGAGCGGGTTCGGGAGCAGGAGATGGAGCGCCTGGTGAGCCTTGGGGTTGGGAGGGGACACATTTGAGTATGGGACACCCTCTGCAAATAGCAGTTGTTGTTTGCTGCTTTGAAACCTGGCCTTTGCCTCTTGGGGATTTGCCACAGCTGCCAGGCTGCCGGCTTATCCAGGGGGATTATGGCCAGGAGGAGCCATCGGTGCTCAGCAGCTCTCTGGGAATACAAAGCTCCTGAGTTACAGAAGCCTGTGGAAGCTGGTGGGGCTGGCATGGCCCCAGGGCTACTGGCCAAAATGGTGGTGCCCCTGCCTTTGCAAAACTCTCCACATCTTGTCCATCCCTGCCAGGGTCCATCTGCTGGTGGTGGTGCCGAGGCTCTGTGGACATTGCATCTATATTTAGGGCTGATGGGGTTTTTATGAAACTGGTATCTGCCTGGATGAGGTTTGCCGTGTCTGCCAGTCCTGAAGGCCGAGCCGCCAGGGCTGTGTTTGCTCAGCCCTGACTCACGCCTGGCGCAGGCAGCCTGAGTCACTGCCTGGAAATAGCGGCGGCGCTCGGCAGCCGGCCCTGCTGCCTGTAATTAGTCTGTCTCAGCTCCCAGCACATCGCGTGCCTGCCTCTGCTGTGGGGTCGGGCTGGCTGCATTGTGCTTTGTAATGTTGCCTGCCCATGCCAGCGTGCAGGTCCGTATTCTGGTGGCCACCGTTGGCACAGGGTTCTGTCTGTTCCTGCCACAGCACGTGCTGGATGGGGACCGTTCTTTCTTACAGGAGCGGCAACGCCTGGAGACCATCCTGAACCTCTGTGCTGAGTACACCAAGACAGACAGCACCGTGCCAGGTGACATGCACAGGCTCCTAGCTGGTGACACAGATGCTGGCCAGTGGGTGCCCAGGGGTGCCATGGCTCTGGGCCATGCTGTCGAAGAGCTGCAGCAGAGGGAGAGCGTGGAGAGGTCGGATGAGGAGAACCTGAAGGAGGAGTGCAGCAGCACTGAGAGTACCCACCACGAGGTAGGGGGACATCTGTGCCATTCTGTTACCATGCCACGCTGCACTGTGCCATGCCAATCAGCCCTTTCCACAGCACGAGAAGCTGACAGGCCCCCGGGCCAAGGAGGCACAGCGGCTGGAGGAGGAGCGTGCCGGTGTCCTCGGACGCCTGGACCAGCTGAAGGGTCGTGTCAAGGAGCTGGAGCAGCAGCTGCAGGAGACATCGCAAGAGGTGAGAGGTCGGGACACTGCTGGATCCCCTGCTGCCTGCTGCCCTCACCATCAGCGCTGAATCCTAAGGGTATGATCCAGCTGGAGCAGCAGTCGTGACATTGCTTTGGCTGTCCAGGCAGAGATGGAGCAGGCACTGCTGCAGGGTGAGCGGGAATCAGAGGTGGTGCGGCTGCGGCAGGAGCAGGAAGCGGTGCAGCAGCTGAAGGAGAAGCTCTCCAGCCTGGACACCAACATCCGCAAGGAGCGGGACAAGGTGAGCCCAGTGACAGGTTCCCATTGGCACCAGCTGTGCCATACCTCCCTGGCACTCACAGCCAGCACTGCAATGCCTCAAGCTGCAGCGTTCCCCTGCGGATGTGTTCTCCAGACCCTGGGCCTCTGCAGAGGCTTTGGGAAGCAGCCCCTATGGCTTGCATTGTGGGGGGAATCTGTCTGTCTGCCTGGGGTTGGTCAAACAGCTCTGCTGGAGGAGAGCACAGCCAATGCTCATGAAGCATTTCAGGTGCTGCCTGTTGCTCTGGCAGGGAGACTGTGGTGTGAGGCTTTCCAGATGGCCGCTGCCTGCAGCGGGCAGTGCCGAAGCAGAGGCCTTGGCTCTCCCCGTTACCTGTCCTCACTAGGGAGCTGCAGCAAGTCACCTCACTCTGCTGCGCCTCCATGTGTGATGGCAGCTGTTGCTGTAGTGTTCAGCTTGCTGGAGGTGGCTGGGAAACCACTGCAGGTGTTTAGCTTGGTGGCTTTAGGAGTGGGTCCTGGCCCCCTTCCCCCGGTGTTGCCTGTGGTGCCAGAAGGCACCCATGATGCTGCGTGTGTGGCACGTTTGTCCCAGCTGCTGGTTGCTGGCTATCCCACAGCCTTGCAGGCAGTGTGGCGTGGCCTTGTCGACGGGAGAGCTGCAGGAGAGCTGCTGGGATCCGGTTCCCTGCTGCCTGAGGCCATCATCCCTGTGCAGCTTATGCCAAGGTCCCACCAGCTGCTCTGTGTCACCATCATGTGACATCAGTGTCCCCTGGGGTCTGGCCAGCCCCATGGCTGTGGGTGCCAGGGCTGTTGGTGTGCCTGTGGCCTGGCAGAGCGGCCATTGGTGCCTGCCAGTGGTGCTCCTACAGCATTTGGGGGTTTTGTTCTGGTTTAGGTCTTCTAGCCCTTTGTAGGCATCTTCTGTAGCCAGGGACAGCCTCATACAGAACCAGGAGAGGAGTGCAGGGAAAGCCCTCTCCCAGCCTCTCTGCTGACCTAACCACCCACTTTCCTAGCCCGTCTGCACTACTCACACTAACAGTGCCAGCACTGAACTCCACCATCACCTCTGACATCTCTGCATGTCCAGGAGCACCCAGGCAATCATAGCTGCTCTCCTGGGGCACCTGCCTGTGCCAGCCTTGCCTCCCTGCCAGCATGTTCCCTCATCCCTTTTCATGATGTCTCTCTGTGGAGCACAGGGTTCCTTGCAGCAGGCATTTCTCAATGCCAAGCCCCCATATGGTACCGCCAAACCTGTGGGTGGTTCCCCTATGCCAGTCCTGTGTTGCTGGCCCCATTTTACTGCTCCTGTGGCCAGGCCCCTCATCCCAGGCCAAGGAGTCAGTGTCTGCTCTGCTGCTGACTCATCACAGCCTGAGCATCTCTTGTGGGACCACAGCCTCCTGCTTTCACTGCTGCCCAGTGCTGCCCTCTCCTAATGGATGAGGGTGGTCCATGACCTCAGGCTGCATTCAGCACCTGCAGTTCCTAACTGGTAGCAGTTAACAAAGCCAGCTAGTGGTTATTGTGATGCAGCCATGTGCAGGACTGGGATGACTTGAACCATACTATCAGCGTTGATCTTTCTGCTGCCTGCAAGTTTGTTTTTGGAAACACAAAGCTGAGGTCAGGGGTTGGCTGTAACTCTTCTAACACTGCTGGCTCCTGTATCTCTTGATCTCTCGATCCCCCTCTAGATGCCATGATGCTCCTTCTCCTGAGCCCCCTCTGTCTCCAGCTGAGCCCCTCTTCTAACTCACAGCTTCTGCATGGCGCCCATTTGAGAAGTGTGTCTTCTTTTTTTTTCCTTTTTCTTTTCTTTTTTTTTTTTTTTTTTTTTTTTTTTTTTTTTTTTTTTTTTTTTTTTTTTTTTTTTTTTTTTTTTTTTTTTTTTTTTTTTTTNTTTTTTTTTTTTTTGTTTTGTTTTGTTTTGTCTTGTTCTCCCCTGATTCAGGAAAGGGCAAAGGTTGATGCTGAAAGGAAGGAGCTAGAGCAACTCCAGGCGCTTTACCATGAGTCGAAGAGTCACCTTGATAAGTGCCCTGAGTCAATGCGGGAGCAATTGCAGGAGCAGATGCGAAGGGTCAGTGTCTCCCCCCACCCCTCCCGGACCATGGCCCACCTCCCTCCGCTCCAGCTTAGGCCAGCTCTTCCCTGCCAGCCGGGGCTGCACTGGGAGCGTCGCACCCGGGCTGGAGGCGGCTGGCACCGGGCACCATCGTCCTGGTAAGCTTGCCGCTCGCCCGGGCCCGGGGCGCGGGACCGGCTCGGCAGAGCTCCTCGGCACCGGCTCGGCAGAGCTCCTCAAACCGGGCAGGGCACGAGCATGGACCCTGCCCTGCAGAGGAGGGCAGGCTGGGGAGTCCTGGGGGCTGCTGCATCTTCACCTGGCTGCCTCCAGCTATTTCCTGAGAATGTTTATTTACACAGTGATGTTGATCCATGTTACTGCTAGTCCTCAGCAATTTTTCCTATTACCTGGTATTTTCTGGAAGTGGTTGACTTTCCCCAGCCCATGGCTAGTGCCTGCTCAGATAAATCCACATTGCCACAGCCTGCTCCAGCCAGGCACTCGATGGATGCGGATCTGGTGTAGAGTGGGCAGGGGGGTGATGGAGCAGTCTGTAAGTGTGGGAGCCCTCGGGAGCCACCACATCAGTGCTGTGTCACTGGCTGCCCGTCTCATGGAGCAGGGTGAAACACATTCCTGTGAGGTGCATGGCACAGTGGCTGCCAGGGTGGCACTGGCATGTGCGGAGCTGAGTCCAGCCACATGCTGTCGGTGCATGAAGGCTGGAAGGACACACAGGAGCTTGTCCAGCATGGTGCTTGTCTGTTGGGGCTTTGCCACCTGTGGGCTTGGTGGCACAGTGTTGCTGTTGGTTACACTGGCACATGGTGTTTTGCTGCCTGTCAGGGCACGGCTTTAGCCCATATGTGTGGTTCAGCAGGGGCAGCTGGTCTCTGAGGGCTGGTGAAGCCCCTGGCTGTGCCAAGCTCTTCTCATAGGGGTGACTGCTCTGTCCTGGCCAGTTCTGGGTGCCTCCATTGCCTTCTTCTGACAGCAGACACTCCTGTCAGTATCTCTCATGTTTCTAATGCCCAGCAGAAGGCAAAGCTGCCTGTCCACACCAGGCACAGGGGACAGGCTTGGCCACCAGCTCTTGTTCCTGGCCAGCATCAGTAGATTGTGGAGGCATGGCAGGAGGTTTTGCTGTGGGAGACCTGCCTGCAGGATGCGGAGGTACCCACCCAGTGGGTCAGATCCACTCACAGTGCTCTTGTGTGTTCAAAGGAGGCAGAGGCACTGGAGACAGAGGCCAAGCTGTTTGAGGACCTGGAGTTTCAGCAGCTGGAGCGAGAGAGCCACCTTGAAGAGGAGCGCGAGGCACGAGGCCAGCAGCTCCTGCAGAGCCGGGCTGAGTGCCACCGGAGCATTGCCCGCAGGAAGGTGGGGATGGGGAAGCAGCAGGTCCGGTGTGGCTGGGCCGTGCCCCTCGGTCAGGCATGGCCAGGCTGCGTCCCGTGGCTCACCAGCAGCCAGTTCATCTCTGCTGCCTGCTCCCCAGGAGCGGGTGGCTGCCCTGGATGCCCAGGCTGCCCAGATTCGGCTGCAGAGTGCCCAGGAGGCCGAGCGCCTGGCCAGGGAGCGGAGCAGTGTCCTGCAGCTCCTGCAGAAGGTAATGCCATGACTGCCTTGTGTGACTGATGTGTACTCCTGAGGGTGCTCAGGGCAGGGGATAAGATCATGCCAGCTCTTGACAGGTTGCTGGCAGGTAGGGAGAGCTTGGGGGTGACTGGCCATGCGGTGCCAGTAACCATCAGCTGCCTCTGGCCTGTCACCCCATGCGCAGGAGAAGGAGAAGCTCGTATCTCTGGAGAGGCGATACCAGATTGTCACAGGTGGCAGGAGCTTCCCAAAAATGTCTTCAGCTCTCCGAGAGGTAAGTGGGTAGAGGAAGCTGTGGTGCTTAGAGCTGCTCTTGTAAGCTGCTGCCATCAGTGAGGACGAGCCTTGTGTACCACCAGCTTTGCTCTGCAGCAGTTCTTATATTCCCAAGTACCTCCTGACCAAAGCCACGTGCTTCCAGCTGCTCAGAATCTCTCCATGGGCTGCAGAGGTTGGGAGGGAGGAAGGGGAAATGCAACAGAGCAGCATGTGGGACAGGATTGCCTAGGGCCCCATCATTGTTGGAGAGCAAGCATGGGGATGTGTTGGTGCTGGTCCAGGGGACTTTTAGGTGGAAGTGAGTTGCCCCATTACCTTGCTTGTGGCTATGAACGGGGAGCCAGAACCATGCCCCCCTCGGGGGCTGTAGTATTGCCTGACCTGCTGCTGGTTAAGAGGCACAAGATGGCAGAATCCCCTCATGCCTGCCTGCAGCACAACTCCTGCTGCTGCCACCTTGCTATCTGTGCCCACCTTGCCTATGTGACCTTTACCCTTCTACAGGAGACCCTCCACATCTCAGAACCTTATGAGCTGTTGGAGGGAACTAAGCCCCTGAGCCCCCTGCCAGTAGCAGCTGCCTCCTTAGCTTCTCCTGCCACCTACTCGTACCCCAAGGCACAAGAGGTAACTAACTGGAGGGACTAGCTGCATGTGCTTGCTTACTTACCCCTCTTTGGCCAGGACCCCTTTTGTGGACTGGTGTCACCCCAAGGCGGCAGGGCAGCCCCACAGCAGCATGGCTGGAGCATTTATGATACAGATCTCTGGCAGCTGTGCTCATTAACTCTCAGTCCCTGATTCCAGGTGCTCTCCTGAGCCTGCCAGGCATCCCAGTTCCTGCCGCTGCCCCATTTTAATCCTGGTGCAGTGGTTTCCCCCTTGCTCACTGCTTGCCATCTGGCTGGACACCTCCTGACAGCATCCTGTAGGGTCCTGCTAGCATGGCTTTCCCAAAATAAGAGCAAGTTCCCCACTTTAGCATGTTTGGTTCAGAAAGGATGAGGAAGTGGGTTTTAAGCTGGCACAGCTTGAGGTGCCTCATTCAGTGCTGCTGCACAAGGGACGACTTGTGGCCAGTGACTGTGGAAGACCCTGAGGCATCCCTGCCCCTTGTAGGCACTCAGCAAAGCTGCACTGAAGGCTGGAGCAAGAAGGGTGCCAGCACACCCAGCCCAGCTTGAGCACCCCAGGGTGCAGGGTGCTGCACACCGGGGACACCATGGGTGGCAGGGCAGGGCTGGGGAGGCAGTGTTGGGGCAGGAATGCACAGGGAGATTTGCTCCCACTATGCAGTCAGTGCCATGGTGCCAGCACACGGGTCTAACTCTTCTCCTTCTCCCTTGCCGTGGATTTCTAGGAGTACATGAGGCTGTCTGACGTTTTCAGGTTCTGCAGTAATGCACATGGCCCCAGCCTGGACACTAAAGCTTCTGCTGCTGCCCCTGCTGCTGCTCAGCGCTCTTTCTTGCTTGCTGTAGCTCCCACAGCCAACGAGGTACCTGCCCAGAGCATGCTCGGGTTTGCTCCCTCGGGTTGCCCGCTGCATCCCAGGCACTGAGGCAGCTGCAGACACGCGGCCCCTGTGTGCCCTGGTGCTTGGAGCCCACATCTCTCTGGGGTCAGGACACTTGTCTGGCTGCAGCTGCGTGGGGAGCAGAGGCTCAAGCTACCCAGTCTCCTTGCTGGGGTGCACTTCTTGCCTGCTCTGGATGTAGTGGCAGGGCAGGAGCAGAGCAGGTGCCCAGCAGTTGGAGGGGTGGCCCTTTGTTTGCTGGATGCAGTCCTGGCCGCTTGTCTCAAGCGAGGAGGATGCTGAGCAGGCCTGTCCCAGTGCCCAGGGTGGCTGCAGCACCAACTGGTTTTCCTCCCAGGACAATGAACCTTCCTGTGGGGGTTGGAGCTGCCTGCTTGTTCCTCTGTGCCTGCTTGCCCTAGCTCTTAACCTGGTTTAATCTGCTTCTCTCTGCCCAGTATGTGACTGTTGAGCAGCTCTCAGGTATCCTGGGCAGCCTCCACACCCCTGCTGCTTCCCTGCTGGGCTGTACCCCTCCGGCTCCTTCATCCTCAAGCTGTGCTCCTCCTCTTCCTCCTCTTCCATCTCTCCCTTCTCCCTTCGTCTCTGCAGAGGTTGGTGCCCTGTTTCCCTCCCTTTGGGCCCTTTTACTCTTTCTGGGAGGTGATGGAGATGCATGGGAATAGGTGAGCTGCAGATGGAGCTGAGCAGCAGCTTGAGCTCTTGACACTCTGCACACCTTTGACTGTCCTGCCTGCTGCTCCACTGCCCCCAGGGCAGGGGGTCTTTGTGCTTGATCAGTTCTCACATTCTCTGGGACAGCAAACGACTCCTACAGCTGACAGGACTTAGCCAGGGAGTGCACAGGATCCCCAGGGGTCTGCACGTTAAGTTCTGGGGGAGTGGTGCAGGCATAGGCAGGAATGCTTCAACCTCTTCTCTGTGCGTCTGTCCCTTTTGCTGCATTTGTCCTTCATCCTTTCTCACGCAGCCTCTCTCTCCAGATGGAGCAGCAGCTGTTGGGAGGCCCTGTGTGTCTCCCAGCTCTTGATTTAGAGAAGTGGTACCAGAAGGTTATGGCTGGCTTTGAGACCTCCTCTTCCTCTGTCTCTCCTCCTTCTTCCCCTCCTCCACTTCCAGCTAAAGCTCACTCCTCTCACAAGGCTCTGCAGGTAATCCTGGCCCTCTGCTGCCAAGGCTCAGGCTTTGGGGCCACTGGATGTGGCAAAAGTGGGGCAGTGTGGGGACGGACGTTCCTGTGGACCCTGTAGTCTGAGTGCTGCTGGGGCCCTGGCTGCCACAGCAGGCAGAGGCAGAGCAGACCTGTGGCCTAGGGTAGGCAGTCTCTGCCTCCCCTTGGGCTGCATCCCTTTGCCAGGATGGCACCGACACAGAACAGGGTCTGGGGAGCCATCTCTCCAGGGGGACTTTTGCAGTTCCCCTATGTGTCTCTCATGTCTGTGTCTCTGTGCTCAGGTCTATCGTGCAAAAACAGAGGGTACTGCTGGTGTCCTCACCCCTCGGATGAAGAGTGGGACCCCTTCATCCTCACAGCTCAACCTCTCCGTGCTGGAGCGCAGCCCCTCCCCTAAGGTATGGCTGCCAGGAGGACCCAGGCACCCTGGCCATGGCTCACTCGTGCCTGGTGCCAGCTCCCATCCCCATCCTTGTAGCTGACCACCTGCTGTCCTGCCCAGGGCCCCCCCAGCCCGGCAGGCAGCCTGTCCCGCAACCTGGTGGCCACGCTGCAGGACATCGAGACCAAGCGCCAGCTGGCCCTGCAGCAGAAGGGTGAGCTCTGGCTCTGTGTCTTGGCTCTGTGGGGTGGTGGGACTTTGGGACATACTCTCCCTGCTGCCACTTGGGCAATGGAGAAGGGAGCGTGGCCGAGGCTCCCTTCTGCTGCGACAGCAGCAGTGCTCTGGCAGGATGCGGTGCCTCTCTCACAGCCTCTTGCTTTTCCCCCCTCTCTGTCCTCCTGATCCCTCCACCTGATGGCCCATCTCCAGCCAAGCTGCTCCCAGCAGAGCCCTTGCAGCCAGGCAATCCACCAGGTAGAGATGTGGGGTGACTTGGACTGCCTAGAGCAGCCCAGAGGCAGCAGCATGGCTGTTTGCTGGCACCTTCTGCCATACATAAGAGGGGCATGAGCAGTCCAGGTGCATCTCAACATCTGCTTAGAGACAACCCTGTGCATCTCTAGCCTGCTAATGCTTTGCCCTGCTTGTTTCTTGCCAGCCTAGTGCATGTGCCCCCACTCCTGCCCAGAGAGATTGCAGTGCTTGCCAGAGAGCTGTGACAGCAGCTCCCACCTGTGCCCTGCCATGCTAGCAGTGCCTGTAGTGTCTTCCGCCTGTGCCACCCCCTCGCCCACCATGATGTGGCTCTGAATGTGGCACATTTAACTTGACATTTTCATCTTCCCGTGGCACAGGTCGACAGGTGATTGAGGAGCAGAAACGGCGGCTCGCAGAGCTGAAGCAGAAAGCAGCTGCTGAGGCGCAGTCCCAGTGGGAAGCTCTGCATGGGCAGCCCCCCTTCCCCACTGCCTTCCCCCGGCTTGTGCACCACTCCATCCTCCACCACAGCCGTCCCCATGGTGCCGGGCCCCGGGCTGAGGAGCTGGACCATGCATATGACACGCTCAGCTTGGAGAGCTCGGACAGCATGGACACCAGCATCTCCATCGGCAACAACTCTGCATGCTCACCTGACAACATCTCCAGGTAATCCTGGGCCCAGCTCGTATGGCCAGGGGACAGCCTGCTCTGCTGGTATGCTGCTGGCTCAAGGTCCTTCCTGCTGGGACAGCAGCTGTGGCTCTTTTGCAGTGCCAGTGGGATGGAGACAGGAAAGATTGAGGAGATGGAGAAGATGCTGAAGGAGGCACACGAGGAGAAGTCGCGGTTGATGGAGTCCCGGGTGAGTGGGGGCACCAGCACCATGGCTAGATGGCAAGCAGGTCTCCAGTGCTTGGGGCTGAGTGCCTGTGCGTGCCGGCAGGAGCGAGAAATGGAGCTGCGTCAACAGGCGCTGGAGGATGAGCGCTGGCGGCGGGAGCAGCTGGAACGCCGACTGCAGGATGAGACTGTGCGGCGGCAGAAGCTGGTGGAGAAGGAGGTCAAGCTGCGGGAGAAGCACTTCTCACAGGTGTGAGGCAGGCTGCCATCCCCCTCGCTTGCCCTGGACAGTGAGGCACACCCACCTTGCTACTGATGTCCCAGCTCGCAGCAGAGGGACGTGGCTCTTGTCACCATCGGTGGGCTTTGCAGGGCTGTGTTGCTTTTCCAGGCTCGTCCCCTGACACGGTACCTCCCCATCCGCAAGGAGGATTTCAACCTGCGGCTGCACATCGAATCCTCAGGCCACAATGTTGACACCTGCTACCACATCATCCTGACAGAGAAGATGTGTAAGGGCTACCTGGTCAAGATGGGCGGGAAGATCAAATCTTGGAAGAAGCGCTGGTTTGTCTTTGACCGCATGAAGCGCACCCTCTCCTACTACGTGGGTGAGTCCCAATGCCACCCCACATCCCCTCCCCGTGCCGTCACCCATGGTCAACAGCAGTTCCCTCTCTTGGGCAGATAAACATGAGACAAAGCTGAAGGGTGTTATCTACTTCCAAGCCATTGAAGAGGTTTACTATGACCACCTCCGCAGTGCTGCAAAGGTGAGAGCTGGGCACTGCCACTGCTGTGGTGTCCGCTGGGAGCTCCCGTGGATGTCCCCGTTTTCCTGCATTGTCCTCTGTCACGCTGGTAGGAGGTAGCAGGGCAGCGTGTGCCAGGGATGCTCCTGGAATGGTCCATGGTCCTGATGGTGCCAAGGGCACTGAGGACAGGACCCCAGTGCTGGGCATTGTGGGGGAACAAGGAGGGGATTGCTGCTGCTCAGAGGGGAACAGAGTTGTGATTTCACTGTCCCCTCCAGAGCCCCAATCCTGCGCTCACTTTCTGTGTCAAGACCCACGACCGACTCTACTACATGGTGGCACCATCAGCCGAGGCCATGCGCATCTGGATGGACGTCATTGTCACTGGGGCAGAGGGCTATACCCAGTTCATGAACTGAGGGCGGTGCTGTGCACCCCAGATCCACCAGCTGCATGGACTTCCGAGCATCCCAAGCAGCGAGGAGCTCCTGAGGGGACCACGGTCCCTGCCTCATGCCAAGGGCTGTGCACACCAAGGTCGTGGACCTGCACTGGGCGCAGCTGGGTGGTCCTGAGTGTTGCCTGTCTAGGCAAGGGAATAAGTTTTTTTTTTTATGTTGACTTTCTAGAAACTTTATTGGAACAATATCAAAGTGCTGAAATGTAAAAAGTTGCCAAAGAGCTGCTGGGCCCCGAGCTGTCTGCCTTGGGGAGGTGATGGTATTGAGGCTGATGCAGATAGTTGCTGCCATAGTGTTCCAGGGGAGGAGATGGTGAGGCCATGCAGTGCCCCCAGCAGGATGTCCCACCGTGGTAGACTCAGAGCCCTTTTTGTAAACCTTTTGTAATTACGGATCATTGTCCCCCCTGTGCTGGGGCCAGATGAGGATTGTGGCGCGGGCTGCCCGGTCATAAAGCATTTCGTGAACCGGGCTGTCCCTCCTGCGTGGCACGTTACAGACACACCGGAGCCTGCCCCGGGCAGGGGCTGGGGCGCGGGGAGCTCACTGGCAGTGAGCTGAAGGTTTGGCCCCGTGCGCAAGGACTGTGGGGACCGCGGCGAGGGGCAGGAGACACCAGCGGGAAGCGGCCGGAACATCGGCACCGGGAGAGGCCAAGGGAAGGGGCGAGCCCGAAAGAGGGAGGGGCTGTGGGTGCGCCGAGCCGAGCCGAGCCGAGCCGAGCCGAGCGAAGGCGGGGAGCAGAAGGGGCGTGGCCACAGGGGGGCGTGGCATCAGGGGCGTGGCTTGTGGCGGCCTGGCCGCGAGGCGCCGCTCGGCCGCCAGGGGGCGCGCGCGGCGCGGGCTGCTCGCACGTGGCCCGCTCGCCGTGAGGCGCGCAAGCGCACGCGCTATGCCGGCACGCGCGCCGCTCGGGCCGGCTCCCGCGGCCCCGCCCCCCCGCGCTCTCGACCAATGGGAGCCGCGGCTCCCGTTCGTGACCGCTTCCGGCTTCCTTCGACGTGGCCCAATTGGCGCGCGCGCGCTGCGGGATTGGCGCGCGGGGCTGGCCCCGGCAGCCGCGCCAATGGGCGCGCGCCGCGTGCGCGCGGGGGCGGGGCCGCCGCGGCGGGGCTGCTCCGCGCGCCGGGCCGGGCCGAGTCCAGCCGAACCGAGCCGAGTGCAGCCGAACCCGGCCGAATCCAGCCGAGCCGAGCCGAGTCCGGCAGGGCCGAGCCGAGCCGGGCCGAGCGGTGCGGACCGAGCATGGCGCGGTTGCCCGGCTGGGCGCTGCCCTGGCTGCTTCTCCCGTGCTTCCTGCCCGCCGCAGGTACGTGCGGGACGGCGCGGGGCGGCGGCCGTGAGGAGCGGGCCGGCGGGGAGCCGCGGCCGCCGCTCCGCTGCCTCCCCAGCGCCCTGCCCGCGCCTGGCCTTGTCCTGGCCCACGCCGGCACAGGTGCTCACCGAGGGTTTGTTTCCAGAGCCGGTGGCGGTGATGTCGGTGGACGTGGGCAGCGAGTCGATGAAGATCGCCATCGTGAAGCCTGGCGTGCCCATGGAGATCGTCCTGAACAAGTGAGCGGCTGTAACAGCGCCCCGGTCCCGGCGCGGGGGAGCTTCGGGGGCTGGGACTCCATCCCTGTTCCTTGGCTGCCGGAGGAGCCCTCCCCTTCTCCCACGCAGGCTTGTGACTCAGTCTTGCCCTGGGTGGGCAGCTGCGGGGCATCGCCTAGGGCAGTTTGTTAGCTCACTTTTAAGGTGCTTTGGGTCCCTTTCGAGTGAGTGCCGAAAACCCACGCGGTTAAGGACACGTTGTGGTGCAAACCCAAAAGGGCACCCAGTTCCTACCTGTCCCCTGATGCTTAATTCTCCTAAGGGAGCTCAAAGCTAGGTTTGTTTTGCTGCCACTTGTCAAAGCCCGCACTTGTACCACAGGTAAACCTCTTGCATTCAGCTGCTGTTGCAGCCCAGCCTCAAGCCACTGAGTGAAGGATCTGCGGGTGAGAGAAGACATATGATCGGGAATGTCCTCAGTTTCTGGGAGTCTGCAGATAACGAGGAGATGTCTCACCCACCTCCTGGAAATTCAGCAGTCCTAGATAGAATAAGGGAACTGTCGTGCCTTGCTTTGGGTGGAGGAAAGCATAAATGGTCTCATCAAAGCATGGAAGGAGTGGGGCAGGGCGGCTTGTCTGATAGCCCCTCAGCTGAGCAGAGGCTGGCCCCCCTCTCTAAGCACCTTCCCTTAGTCCTTCTGGGATGGGAACAACATCCATCTTCACTGAGACTGGAATGTTCACCTGTTTCCACTGCTTTATTCCTTTCTCTCTGTTCTCAGGGAGTCACGAAGGAAAACACCTGTGGCTGTTTCCTTGAAAGAGAATGAGCGTCTCTTCGGTGATGGTGCGCTGGGGATGGTAAGAGTTGCTGTTTGCAGAATACATGCATCAAACTTCTGAGCTGGTGTTTTATTGTTGTCCTGTGCTTCTCATCTCCTGGATGTGTTATTTGCTCTGTGTCGTGGCTGTGTGCTCCTACTCTTGTAGCAAGAGTTGTTCCCCACATAGTCGGGGAGGGATTGGTCTGACAGCAGCGTAACTGAAGGAATGCAAGTGGGTGATGTGTTTTTTTCCTGCAGTCCATAAGGACGCCCAAGGCAGCATTCCGATACTTCCAGGATCTGCTGGGTAAGCGGATCGATAATCCCCACGTGGCGCTGTACCAGTCCCGGTTCCCGGAGCATGAGCTGGTGAAGGATGACATAAGGCAGACTGTTATCTTCAAGTTGTCCCCGTAAGTGGCTGCTTTTAGGTTCTTTGTGGGATGGACTTCAGTTACCAGGCTTCTGCAGCTCACTGTTGATGCCATCATTTTCTTTCCCATTGTAGAACGATAAGGTATTCTCCCGAGGAGATGCTGGGAATGGTCCTGAACTATTCACGTGGTCTGGCTGAGGAATTTGCAGGTTGGAAGGATTTAGCTTTATCTTGCCTATATGTGTATGTGTTCGTACACTGTAGGATTCCAGTAGAGACCAAAAGCATTCAGAAACCCAAGATTTTTGGAAACAGGGTATTGGTTCTCTCCAGCTGTAGGCTGTAAGCAAGACTTAGAAGTTATCCAGTTGTCATTTGTTTATAATATGATGCACGTTTGGGATCTTAATCCTACTCTTGGCGGCAGACACTGTGTTTATCACCTAGTGTTGCAATGAAGGATCCTTACAGGCAGTCTCTGGAGAAAAGAAAAGTGTTTTCTTTATCATGTGTGTGATCAGAGTGGAGGCACATGGGATCTGGCTGCTGGGAAGGGTGGAAATGGCTCTGTGAAGGCTGTGCTGTAGCTGTTCTGGGTGGAAACTTGCTGTTGGAGCTGAACTCAAAGAGCAAAAATGGCCCTTTGCTGTGAGACTTGCTAACAGAGAGGAGGCTGTTGTGTATTTATTGCTGTGTTGCTAATGAAATACTACAGTAATGAAAAGTGGATAAATTACCAGGAGGCTTTGTCATGTGGTCAGTGGCACTACGGGCAGTCCAAAGACTTTTTACTGAAGAGTGAAATAATCCAGTGGCAGTGTAAGGCTCCGTGAAGATAGTATTTGTTGAAATGGAAGACTACCCAGAGCATTTGAGAGTATCCTCAGAGTATCCTCAGAGGTCAGTAGACTTGTGGCTTTGCATGAATATGCCAGGTCTGCTTGGTGTCAGCAGGATACAGAGAGTTGTTCCTAGGGATCCTGGCTGCTGCTGCAGGGTTGTATTCTCTGTGAGTCTTCACCTTGGGTCCTCTGGGTTTGCTGCTGTCACTCCATCTCAACAAGCCTTTGCATGTGGCTGCACTGATGCTGAGTTCCCTGTAACTGTTCCAGAGCAGCCCATCAAAGATGCAGTGATCACAGTTCCTGCCTACTTCAACCAAGCAGAGAGGAGAGCAGTTCTGCACGCTGCCCGCATGGCTGACCTCAAGGTGCTGCAGCTGATCAATGACAACACGGCCGTAGCGTTGAACTATGGGGTTTTTAGGAGGAAGGACATCAATGCCACGGCACAGGTAGGTGCATTTGAGAGATGCATTTGAGATTGCCTGCATGCAAGGGAGAAAGTGCTGCAGAAGTAATCCAAAGAACTTGAAGTAGACTGCTGATCAAGCAGTCTCCTCTGTTTTCATGTGTTTATCAACAAGACAAAGAGATTAAATGCTGTGTGCATGTATGGTGAAGCCTGAAAGCTGCTGGAGTGAGGGCAAGTCCTGGGAGTTCCCGTTTTGTAAACCTGTTCCTTGCCCATCAGCTGGGGAAAATAAGAGCAGTGATTGCTTGAAGTATTGGAACACCAACTCAGAAGTTCTTGATTTACTTGAGGCTGAAGCAAAAGCAAAACTTCAGGTTTTGAACTGTGAAATACATTAGAAGTTTTCTTGTCTCCTTCTGTCATACATGACCATGAACCTGTGTTTGGTCAAAAACATCATGTTTGGTCAAAATATGAGTCCTGCCCTTAGGGTATAAATTCAATCCAGGGAATAGATAGTTGCCGCCTGTATCACACTGAAAGGTTCTTTATTTATTTGTGGGGGGATGTCCAGTTGTTTCTGCTTCACTATCCCAGCTTTTCTTTTCAGAATATCATGTTTTACGACATGGGAGCTGGAAGCACTGTTTGTACTATTGTTACTTATCAGACAGTGAAAACTAAGGACTCGGGAACCCAACCTCAACTGCAGATCCAAGGCATTGGGTAAGAATTCCACAAGAGTTGCACAAATCCCACAGGCTTCAGGAAAGAAACCATTTGTTTCACAATCTTCATAATGTAGTATTTTGCAGTGAGGCTTCAGTACAGTAATTTGGATGGCTGAGGGGGAAACATTTGGAGCAAGAAAGCTCCAGTTGGGAATAATTTTGGTATTGCTGTCTTTTGCAGAAGGTCACTGAGAACTTCCAGGAACCTAGGAAGGTACCAGTGTACTTAGTGTGCTTTAGGCTTTCCTTTGATAGCCTCAAGCCATGTAAACCTATTCCATTACACATAATCTTTTAAGTGTATCAGTTGGAATAAGAGAAATATACTTCTAGAGAGGAATGAAAATGCAGTGGACTTAATGCATTGCCAAATAAGGAGGCGGGTGCATACCCAGCCCAGCAGTTTTAACTCCAATGCATTTATGTTGCTGTTTTCAAGAAGATACCCGGAACTTGATACAGTTGTCCATTGGCTTCTCAGCTGTTTTACATGCTTGGCAATAAGGCATTTACCTAAAATATAATGAAATTTCATGTTGAAAGGTTGTTGTGGTGGTAAACCTCTTATTTCTATCTTTCTTTCATTATAATGTGTTACTTTGGGGACAACCTTTGTTCTTTCACAGACATCACAGCTGATAATACTGCAGCTATTTTTGACCATTTGCTGTTCTGCATATTTGTGAAATAATACATGAAATTTGTATTTCAATTTGGTTTTGGTTATTACACCTCTGTTCATT